TTTTCATATTTTTCAGGTTATTTAGTCTCTTTTCYAATGAGTTATTGAATCGTTTCTTCAGTTCCCTGGCTTCTCATAACTGTGACACATCTGCCACTCATCTGTTACTCAGTTCAGCCATTTACGCTCAGTTATTACAGCGTAATGTCAGATCATACTATTTACCTGTTCTCTTACATTTCTGTCTGTATAGTTTTGTGTTACTATTAGTTCACCCATCTTGGGTCCTCAACCGGTTTTCCCAGCAATTTGCTCTGCTGCTTTCTCAGCCATTCATTTTGTGATTAAAGTTTCTTGTTTGCACTCATTTCTCCACCCCTGTTTCTGCAAGTTTAGATCTTCACCACTACTACACGATGAAAGACTTTGGCTTGTTGCTCCGTGCAAAATAACACCAAGTCAAAACCAAGCAACGTGGCTCTGCTTCAGCTAAACATGCACTTAAAATAAACAACAAAACAAGACAACTTCATTTAAGATTTTGATGCAGTTTTAATAAGTTTCACTCTGATTTTTAAAGACACGTGTACTTTAAGTCCTAACTCTTGCCCTACACTGGATTTTGCGAGTAAAAGCAAAGCATCAGTAATGCTAAATTAACTCAAAACCATAAGTGAGTAYTATGTGTGTGTGTGTGTTTTAAAGTGTGGTGCAAGAGTTTGGCTTGGCAGACAGGCCCCMTGAACCACTAATATTGTCTCCAGGCTTGTATGTAACCAGGACTTCTTCACCAGGCTTGTTAACACCCCGACCAACACCAAACCATAACACAACCCAGTCCCCGGGCCGGGGACCCCACAAGACCCGACGGCTTCGGGTGCCAGGGCGCAGAGATGGATCTGACCACTAACCTCCAACACCGACGCACGGCACAAACACACTCGACTCACACTCATAAATTGGATAACCACAGTGTGTGTCTTTATGTGTGACGCCACAGTGGGTTCTGTCACCTACCCTGCTTCTGAACGCCATCAATTAACTCTAATGAGAACAGTGGGTTTGGACAGAAAGCCTTGTATATTGTGTTATCGCAGCTCGGCTCTAATCACTCAGGAAGTTTGTCTCAGCTGGCCACAGCCACCATCAGGAGCAGCTGAAAGGAGACAGAAACCACCTATAAAAGCATATTGGTTTAAACAACCACTCCCTGTCTATTAGCTCAAAATGACATTTAATGAGGCCTATTAGCTCTGCTCCAAATCAGCACTGCAGCTCCTCTAGACTAATGACACCAATAACACTCTCTCTCTCTGAACACATACAGACTCAGGAGCTACAGAGGCATGCAGATCATATCTATACGAGCAAAACAGACACGCGAACGGCCGCCTGCGTGCATTAACACACACACACACCTAAACATACACACACCGCAGCAGCAGTGGCAAACCACAGGTTAACCAAGAGCTGTCAGCAGATTAAGGACAATGGAAGCCACAGAAACCGAGTTAGCCTCCTGCTAATGGCACAGTGGCCAGAGGGACCCGGCTGTAAACCTCACACCGCAGATCTTCAAACTAAACCTCACTCATATTCTGACCACGCAATTAATTAACCAACGCTCAGCCTTTACAGTCAAAAGATACAAGCCCTGTTGGTTCACGGGTGGTCCCACTTTCATTCCTCCACAGATATTAGAAGAGGGACCGTGAGGGAGGGAAAATAAAAAAAATCACATCCCACAGGAAAAGTCATATGGCTACCATAAGGGCTCATCAAACACTAAGACACAAAATGTCCTTCCTGAAAGAGACGCCCACAGCCAGGCGAATTAAAGACAGAGAAACACCAATAAAACTCTTCATGTGTTCAAGTCAAATCAATAAAATGCATCAATGTTCTTTAATGTTGGTTTATTTCACCACTCATCAATCTCTGCTGAAATCTTGTGTCATCTTTGCAGAAATAACAGCATTTTTTTTACCCAGGAGTACCACACAGTGCCAGTGTATGTCATTTTTAAGACAGCCTACTGTTCCCTTGCTGGTGCGGACCCCCCCCCCCCCCTCCTCGTAGGGGCCCGTCGTACCGCAGGCCTCCTAATTACCCGCTCGTTTAGCACAAAATAAGAGCTATAATGGCCGACAAAGCCCCCCCACGTTTCAATGAAGCGTTCACAGATAGAATCAGAGTGTTGGAGACAGCCGGCGCTCTCAGCTCTATGAAGACATAAAAAAAGCTTTTTTTGGGGGTGGGGGGGCATGTGTGTTTTGTCACCCTTTGACCTCGTGCGAAATGACCCCTGACTGGGAGACGTGGTCAGGCTGTAGTTCCTGGGTGAACTCTATCAGTGGGCTTACGAGCGATGACGTGGTCTTTATGCTGAAATTACTGTCCTGAGACTAAAGGGAAAAATAAACGTCAAACTTTTCACATCAAAGCTTTTTGTTTTGCAACAAAGAAGCCATTTGAGCTAATAGAAGAAAAACAAAGAAAAGAAAAAAATCTCCACAGATGACATAATGGACTCAGTCTCTCTAGACTGCCGCTAAGGTCTCAACCCCCCCCCCAATAAAGATTCTGGGAGCCGAACCTAGAGCTACGACTTTGCTGAGGCCAAGTTCAGCTTTTCTAAATAAACTTAGTTCCGACTCTCATCTGCTCGCCACCGAGTAACAAGGCTTGTTTGAAAGTCATCTGACGGGGGACAGCAGATGCACAGGAAATGCTTTTGATCAAACAAGAGTGAGAACGGGGCGGTGGGGCGGTGGGGGAGTGGGCGTGATTGCGAGTGCATGTGCGCTTGAGGACTTGCACATGCTTTTGTTTCGAAGGTGGAGGGTGTAGTGG